CTTCCCAAGTAGTTGGGACTACAGGTGCATGCCACCACACCCAGCTAATGTTTGTATTTTTAGTAGAGATGGGGTTTCAACATGTTAGCTAGGATGGTCTCTTGACCTCGTGATCCGCCTGCCTCGGCCTCCCAAAGTGCTGGGATTACAGGCGTGAGCCACCACACCCGGCCCACAAAAAATTTAAAAATTAGCCAGGCATAGTGGCACATGCCTGTATTCCCAGTTATTCAGGGGGCCGGACGTGGTAGGATCACTGGAGCCTGGCAGGTAGAGGCTGCAGTGAGTGGTGATCATGCCACTGTACACCAGCAGGGCGACAGAGCAAGACCCTGTCTCAAAAATAAAAATAAAAAATAAAATAAATGCCAACACTCACAAAGTATTACAGTGAATAAAATAAGGTATTGCCTTTTATGTGGCAAATGACCTTCCTGATTACTAGTAAGTGATGTTAGAAAGTTCTACCTAAATATCTTTGTGAAAACAAGTTCTAAAAGGCAAACAACTCTATCATTCTGAGAATATCCAAGTGGAATGAAATCACTTAAAAGGGTTCCCACTTTGAGCAACTGCTGTTTCAGAAGCTAGAGTCACAGTAGATAATCAAACTCATGTTGGTAATAAATGAAACAGGCCAGTTTTCTACTGGTTTCACTTTAGGGCATGACTTTCCCTGCTTCCTAAGTTACTCTAAAACAGGGCAAAACCCACTAGATAACTGCCTTTGGTGAAAAGACTAACTCAATAGTGAGCTGACTCTGTAGAGTCAAAGTTCGGCATGCTAGCATTTTATGAGATTTGTAACAACTGAAGTTTAAGCCATACTTTAAAGCTCATCCTTAATAATATATGAGTTTTTTAAAAGCAGAAATTATGATGCTTCGAGAACACTAAAGTGTCTTGGGATGAAGCAGGGGGAAGAAATCTAAGTTATTAGTCTTAATATGAAGCATATACAATCCATAATAAAGCTGTTGGTAAATACATGCAAAATGTACTGTCCTCTGCCATATAGTACAAGATATCTGCTAGGACAGCAAATGAAAATAGACTTGTATTGAGCCCTCCTTTGGGCCTGGTATTGCAGGGAACAGATGCAGACAGAAATATACTAATCCCTGACTTCAAGGAGCTTATGGCCCAGTGAGGGAAAACAAAAGCAAACAGACAATTACAACAGAGACTAACAGTGCTTATGAGAGAGGTTAGCACAGGAGGATGAGGTTGAGCCTAACCCAGCTGGGGGCTGGAAGAAGTAAGAGTTAGCCTGGCAAAGAAAAATAAAGGACTTTTCTGGCAAAGGGAACACTTGTGTATAGGCATTGAGATTAAAGATAACCCAGCAGTGAAAGTGGAGAGATAAGCAAGGACCAGCTCACAAAGGACCTCATATGCCATGCTAGGGAATTTGGAATTTATTCTGTAGACCACTGAATAATTTAAGTCTTATTAATGGACATCTAATACCATGTAGCAAGGCCACACTTAAAAATACATATGGGGCTCCTACCATGAGCTAGATGGTAGGAAATGGTGATGCAAACAGACATGATTTCTGCAATCAATCACTGGCTGGGTGCAGTGGGTCACATGTGTAATCCCAGCACTTTGGGAGGCTGAGGCGGATGGATCACTTGAGGTCAGGAGTTGGAGACCAGCCTGGCCCCAACATGGCAAAATCCCGTCTCTACTAAAAACACAAAAATGACCCGGGCATGCTGGCATGTACCTATAGTCCCAGCTACTTGGGAGGCTGAGGCAGAGGTTGCAGTGAGCCAAGGATCATGCCACTATACTCCAGCCTGTGTGACACAGCGAGACTCCATCTCAAAAAAACACAAAGTTGTATTCATACCTCCAGGTCCTTTCGAATGCTCTCAAACTCTTCAATGTCATCAAGCTTTAGCTCTAGGCGTGTTGGTTTTCGTCTCAGCATACTGAAGTCAACACTAAGGGCCAAACCCAGTGAACTATTAGCTGATAAAAATGAAAGAGAGGAGGAAAAACTGAAGGTAATAAAGTCTCAGATACAAAACATAAAATCAGTTTGCAAGCCTGTGTACTAAAGTGAATGGAAGTATTAAAACTTTATTTGAATTCACACAGACTTCTAAAGTCTTTTTAAGAGATGGGATCTTGCTCTTTGCCCAGGCTGGAGCACAGTAGCATGACCTTAGCTCACTACAGCCTCAACTTCCTGGGCTCAAGCAATCTTACTGCCTCAGCCTCTAGAGTAGCTGGGACTACAGGTGTACACCACCATATCTGGCTAATTTTTGTGTTTTTTGTAGAAATGGGATCTCTCTCTGATGCCCAGGCTGGTCTCAAACTCTTGGGCTCAAGTGTTCCTCCCTCCTCATTTTCCCAAAGTACTGGCATTATAGGCAAGAGCTACTATACCCAGCCAACTTCTAAAGTCTTTAGGTATATGATTATTACATTTTTATTACATTATGGAGATCTACAGCTCTGTAAAATCAAAAACTCTTTCAGTAAGAATTTAAAATAGCAAACTATCACTTTAATCTCATGTTCTAGTCACATTCAAAGAAATACTCTAGCTAAAAGAATAAACTATCACATCTCAGTATAGTTAGAGGGGAAAGTGGACAAACCAGTGAATTTAATCTACTCTACGTGAGAACTGTCAGAGATTTGTGATCACTCCTGAATGCTAAAATCAGTTTGCTAAATCTCATGAAGACTCCAACTCACCAATTCACAGGATTATCCTCAGCGTCCAAACAGATCCTAAATGTGTGTACGTCATTCATTAAACAAACACTTCTTGTGCTCCAGCTACAGAATTAAAAGGTACAGTCATAATCTGTGGGGAAAATAAAGAAAACTGTGATATCATATAACGAGAACCCTAATGAGGATACTGGCACTGGCATCACACAGGCACCTAATCCAGTCTGGGCTGAGTGTGGGGTGGACAAGGATGTCAGGCAAGCCTTCCTGGAGAAAATGATATCTTAGTTGACTTCTGAAGGGCAGGCAGAGAGAAGAGTGCACAAGGAGGCTCAAGACCAGCTTTGGCAACATAGCAAGACCCTGTCTCTACAAAAAAGTAAAAAAATTAGCTAGGCTGGTAGTGTGTACCTGTAGTCCTAGCTACTCAGGAGGCTGAGATGGAAGGATCACTTGAGCCCAGGAGTTTGAGGTGGCCACAGTGAGCCATGATCTCACCATAAGACCCCAACTCAGAAAAAAAAAAAAAAAAGAAGAAGAAGAAAAGAGGTTCAAAAGAGCATTCCACAGCCTGAAATCCCGAGGTAATACTGTGTTAACAAAAACCATTTTGTTTTGTTTTGTTTTGTTTTTGACAAAACACAACTCCCCCAATTGAGTTTAATATCTGTTGATGGCATCATTTGTATATTCTCCACAGCATCCCCTAGAGTGTATCTATAAAAACAGTCAGTAAATGTTTGTTGAATAAAAGGTGAGATCATTCTTGAGCACTGTGCTCTTTTTCCATTCCCATTCTTTACATTCTTAACACAAAAACCTGTGAAGTTGACAAAATGATTCCTATTTCACACATAAAGAAGTCATCGAAGCAAGCTGTTCAGTTTGGTTAATAATTTTAGCCTCCTATAAAAATTATACAGGTCAACATGATAAGGATTAAGTGAGAATGATGGAAGTGAAAACTCCTTGAAAGTATATAGAGATACAAATTATTACATGTATCTAGGATGAAACTAGGGACTGTGAAGTATACAAAGGAAGAAATATTTCCTTCTCCCATGAAGCTTAGGATATTACAGGCGATATTATCAACACAAAACACTGGCACATTACATTTCAAATTGCTTTGTACTAAATCAGGCATTATCTTCTACCAGATTCCAATGCAGACAAATGGTAGAGAAAGCCAAAGTTCCAAAGAGGGAAAGAGAGGGATAGGGATACCTAAAAGGAAAAAAAAGGTCTACTATACATTTTACCTTTTCTGCAAACTGCGAAAAACTGGCCACTACGGAGCAGTATAGAGTAGCAGTTAAAAGTGCTGGCTGTAGAGGTTAAAGGGCACAGGTTCTAATCCCACTGCGCCACTGATCTTGAACAATTAGTTTCATTTCTAACTAGGCCTTAGTTTCCTCATCTGTATCCTACTTTGCTGTTGTAGGAAGTGAATAACGTAATGCAGAGTAAGCTCTTGGAACATTACTTGGCATTTAATAAATGTTCAATAAATAACACCTATTATGGCTGTAATTTTTCTAGGGGGTTGGATGAGGATCTGGCCAGCTACGGAAACGTCAATATTTTGAGGATCTCCCACCGTCCACGTGGGGATAAAAACCTTATGCTGTTCGTCTCTAATACCCCAGCATCCAGCAGGGCAGAGAGACGTACAGTTCCCTGACACCCTCCTAACCATCATCTTACTCTCAATCTGATACAAAGACCAGGCTGAAGACAAATGAACAAAATCAGGCCGAAGCTTCTCCGCCGGGTCTTTATTTGACTTTGGCACCAGCGGGCTCTTCTAGCTTAATCTCTCGCTGCAGCCCAAATCCACCGCCGAGCCATCAAGCTCATAGGTGGCCCTTGGGAAGACTTCCGGACCATGGAAGAGAACAGTCCTCGTCCCCTAGCTCCAGGCCTGTACCTCGGATCCCAGGGTTTCTATGGTAACACGGTCCTCGGCTCCCAGAAGACGTAAACGCCCCCGTAGGCCCGGGGAGGCACAGCGGGCCCCGGAAGCCCTCGACTCGCTCCAGAGTTCAGCCCCGAGCCGCGCGAGTCGACTTACCTACCTCTTTTCAAGTCGGCTCAGCCCCTTCCCGGAACCTCGGCTCCCCTCCACGAAACTACTGCTACGCCAACTGGACTACACTTCCCAGACGGCTTGGAGCCTCTCTCTCAGCAGAACCTCGTCTTCCGCGAGCTTTTCTTGGAGGTTCTAGGAGGGATGCCCCTCAATGCCACGACGCCATTTCCTACTACGACTTCCATCATGCTCCGCGCCGCTCCGGGCGCAGCGACGGCTCTTGGCCCATGTCCTGTTTGCGACACACTTCCGGTCAGTGACGCACTTCCGCTCTGCTGGGCGCGCGGTGGAAGGTCTGAAACGGAGAGCTTGGATTTCGCTGGGGCCTCGCGGCTCCAGAGCCCAGCATGGCTTCCTCGCGAACCTCCTCCACGGTACAGAGCCCGGGATCGCAACTCACTCTGGCAGGGAGCGCGGAGGGGGAAGAGGATCTCTGCGGGAAGGGGCCGTTAGGGAGCGAGAGAAGGCGGTGGAGGGCTGAGGACGAAGGCTGCGGGACTCAGTGGTCTTCTACACAGCGGACCACCGTTTTCCTGACCCCTAAGCGCTTTCGTGGACTGTAGCTTATTTGCACCTCTCCCACTACAGCCCCAAAGGGCAAACATCTCTTCCGACTCATCCAGTAACGGTGCTCTGAAATAGGGAAGTGTCTTGGCCAAGGTTTATGCGTTTGGCAGATCTCAAAATTTTAATGAGACCTACTAACTTCTACCTCACGTCTAGAAACGTTTGAAATGTATACACTCGTAATGTTGTAACTTGTTATCCTTTAGCACCGCGTTGGTTATTTCATCTATCCTTAATATTTCCCCAGTGATGAGCAGTAATCTTGGATACATCGTAAAACACGAGATTCCACGTTTCCAGCAGAATAAAGTAAACAGATTCCAGAGCAAACCTTTCATATGAAAATACTCGAGAGAACCTCACTAGTTTTATCAATCCCGTCAGCTAAAGTGAGGGACTGAAACACCCTCCCCTTCACCTCAAATCGATGAAGAACATCTTAAGTAGTGTCCAATTTGTCCTTTCAATTATGAAGGAAATAGGACTGTGAAACTCAGGGCGAGCTTCATCCTCGGGAAATCCGGTAAATTGCCAAGATTAAACCTCAATTTAATCCAGATTTTTGATTTGGCAGGCAACCAAAACTAAAACACCCGATGACTTAGTTGCTCCGGTTGTGAAGAAACCACACATCTATTATGGAAGTTTGGAAGAGAAGGAGAGGGAGCGTCTGGCCAAAGGAGAGTCTGGGATTTTGGGGAAAGAAGGACTTAAAGCAGGGATCGAAGCTGGAAATATTAATATAACCTCTGGTAAGATGCAAATTGTGAACCCATCTTTACCTCTTTGTGTAATGAATACTTTCCTAAACTTGAATATCATCAGTTTTATAATGTCAAAAAATTTAAGTTCTTTTGTTTTAGACGGAGTCTCGCTCTGTCACCAGGCTGGAGTGCAGTGGCGCGATGTCTGCTCACTGCAACCCCCGCCTCCTGGGTTCAGGCAGTTCTCCTTCAGCCTCCGGAGTAGCCGGGATAACAGGCGCACACCAACAAGCCCAACTAATTTTTGTATTTTTAGTAGAGACGGGGTTTCATCATGTTGGTCAAACTCCTGACCTTGTGATCCCTCCCCCTCGTCCTCCCAAAGTGCTGGGATTACAAGCGTGAGCCACTGCGCCTGGCAGAATTTCAATTCTTAAACTTGCATCTATAAGGCTGTATTTTGCCTACCCCCTTAAAATCATGCAGAGAGCCTTTTTCTTACAATGTGTTACATAGTTTTGCTTCTACGAGTGAGCAGTCTTATCAAAAATTCAGTGTACATTTGGATTCAGATTGATTCCATTTGTCTTCTGGAGATCTAACATAGTTCTGGCATTGGTTTGCAGCTAGAGTGGTTCGTGATAATCTCCCTTTTGAAGTTTTCCAATTATTTTTTACCCAAAGGGAAATATCTTTTTTTTTTTTTTTTTTTTTTTTTTTTGACACAGGGTCTCACTCTCTTGCCCAGGCTGGAATGCAGTGGCATAACCGTGGCTCACTGCAACCTCTGCCTTTTGTGTTCAAGTGATTCTCCTGCCTCAGCTTCACGATTAGCTGAGATTACAGGTGCCGGCTACCACACCCAGCTAATTGTTGTATTTTTAGTAGAGACGGGGTTTCACCATGTTGCGCAGGCTGGTCTCCAACTCCTGACCTCAAATGATCTGCCCACTTCGGCCTCCCAAAGTGCTGGGATTACGGGCGTGAGCCACTGCACCTGGCTGAGATATCTTGTTTTATTATAAAAGTAATAGTGGCCAAGCCTGGTGGCTGAAACCTGTAATCCCAGCACTTTGGGAGGCTGCGAAGTGGGAGTCCGGCTTGAGCCCAGGAATTCAAGACCAGCCTGGGCAAATAGTGATACCCCATCTCTACAAAAAAGTAGAAAATTAGCCGGGCATGGTGACGCGTGCCTGTATTCCCAGCTAATTGGGGTTCTGAGGTGGGAGTTCAAGGCTGCAGTGAGTCATGATTGTACCACTGCACTCCAGCCTGGACAACAGAGAGAGACCCTGTCTCAAAAAAAAAAGATAATAGTTATTTTTCTTTTAAAAGATCAAACAGTGTATGAATGTGTGAAGTAGAAAATCCAGTATTTTTTAATTAATTGATTGTATATCTTAGAATTTTAATACAGCTATAAAAATACGTCATTTTTTCCATAAGTGAAAACATGATATGTAAATTGTTGTATAACCCCCATTTTTCATTTTATATACCATTGAGGATATCTTTCCATGTCAGTAATGAGAGGTCCACTCTATTTTTAAAATAAAATTACGCATATTTGTCATAAGAAATTCAGACAATACCAGAGGGCATAAAATGAAGACTCCTCTGGCTGGGTGTGATGGCTCACGCCTGTAATCCCAGCACTTTGGGAGACCGAGGTGGGTGGATCACGACGTCAGGAGATGGAAACCATCCTGGCTAACATGGTGAAACCCCGTCTCTACTAAAAATACAAAAAAATTAGCCAGGTGTGGTGGCGGGCTCCTGTAGTCCCAGCTATTCGGGAGGCTGAGGCAGGAGAATGGTGTGAACCCGGGAGGCGGAGCTTGCAGTGAGCTGAGATGGCGCCACTGCACTCCAGCCTGGGCGACAGAGCGAGACTCCGTCTCAAAAAACTGAAGACTCTTCTGCAGTAGGGACATCTGTCAGGTTTCTCATTGATCCTCCCACACATTTTCTAAACACATGTGCTGTAGCCTAGTGACTTTTTAAAGTTTTTATACTGTTTTTAAACATAATGTCACCACTGTACCTCTCATTTTTTATCACACTTGTATTTTGGTGTGGGTTTCAAAACTATTGCTAGATTTTCCAGAAATCCTTATAGTTGTGGAACTCTCATTTTCATGGTAATTATTTGCAGTTTACTAGTTAATTATTTGTTAAGTATCCCTATACTGGGACTCCTTTAGAGAATAAATAGCTTTGTAAAGTTATGTAGAGGTATAAAGTTAATAAATGAAACCAGAGGTGGCTTGAACCATTTTCCTGCCTTTTGAAGTTGTGTCATTTAGGTTTATGTGTTTGGCATAATTTAATAAACTGAAAAGCAGTAAACTATAAAATGTGTAATATATTAGACATTACCTTTCTCTCAGGGCATACACAGACTGCAATTATTTATTTCTCTCCATTTGAAGAAGATCTGCTGATGTTGCCTGTTTTCTTTTTGACAGGAGAAGTGTTTGAAATTGAAGAGCATATCAGTGAGCGACAGGCAGAAGTATTGGCTGAGTTTGAGAGAAGGAAGCGAGCCCGGCAGATCAATGTTTCCACAGATGACTCAGAGGTCAAGGCTTGCCTTAGAGCCTTGGGGGAACCCATCACACTTTTTGGAGAGGGTCCTGCTGAAAGAAGAGAAAGGTCACCTTTCTAAACATTTACTTTTTTTCTTTATTATAATCACAGGGTTCTACTCCAAATTTTGGTTGATGTTTTAGTTGAACTTGAATAGAATGTCTCAAATCATGTTATCATGTTACCAATATCTTACTGTGTTTATATGAGTTAGCCTATCATCTATCTTAGGCCAATTTTTATTCTACTATTAATTTTTTTTTCTTTTTTTGAGGTAGAGTCTTGCTCTGTCACCCAGGCTGGAGTGCAGTGTCATGATCTTGGCACACTGCAGCCTCCACCTCCCAGGTTCAAGCAATTTTCCTGCCTCAGCCTCCCAAGTGGCTGGGATTACAGGCACCCGCCACCATGCCCAGCTAATTTTTGTATTTTTAGTAGAGACAGGGTTTCACCATGCTGGCCAGGCTGGTCTTGAACTCCTAACCTCAAATGATTCACCCACCTTAGCCTTCCAAAGTGCTGGGATTACAAGCGTGAGCCTCCACGCCTGGCCAGTTTTTCTTTATAGACTGGGAAGAGGGTGCTAACATGCTCCCTTGCCTCCCCTCCCCAGTGCAAGTTTTGAATTGGATAAACATTTGTTTTGGGGCTTTGAAAATTTAGACATCAAATGCATTCTATGTCAGTAACCTAAAACAATGATAAATGTTTTTTGGATTTTATTGAAGAGGGGTACGGTCCTCGGGTAATGCCCTCTTATGATTTACAGGTTGCAAAGTCTTTTAGTTGTGGTCTAGTCATACACAATTATGAAGAGCCCTTCTGGTCTCTATCCACTGTCTCATCTCCCCTTCATCATCCAGCTTGTTGGAAGGGTTTTCTCTATTACTCTCTTGAGGTCCTTACCCTTATTTACTCTTCAACCTGCTGCAAACTGACCGACCCCTGCCACATTAAAATTGCTCCTTATTAAGGTCACCAACCCACTTTTACTAAGAATAGCCCTAGTATACTGCCAGCCACTCCCTCCTTGGAATACTCCCTTTCCTTCACTCTCCTAAGACCAAATCCTCTTGATTTTCCTGTCTCTCACTAGCTAGTTCTTCTCGCTTACCTTCTAAACCTCTTTTTCTCTGCCTACCCTTTACAGGCTGCCTTCTCTACTTGCCCTTGATGATCAGATCTACTCCCTTGGCATCATTCACTGTGTGTGTTCTGTTGATTCCCAGATCTCTCGTTGTAGCTGAGGCATCCCACAGGTACTTCAGACTTGAGGCATCTGAATTGAAATATTTCCCCAGCTCTCTCCTATACTCATACAGTTCTTAGTTGAAAATCTACCTAGCCTCCTTTATAATTCATCAGCAAAATCTAATCTATTCTGCTTGCGAGCTACAACTCCAATCTATCATTGCTCTATCTTTACTGCTTTCAAATCTGCACTGTTGTGATAGCCCCAAACATGTTGTGTTGATTGCTTGCTTAAAATCCTAGATTGTCATCTCATACTTGGAGTAAAAAACTCTTTTCATGGTCTGTAAGGTCTTCAGCCTTACCCATACCACCCTTCCCCAATTTACTAGAATAGCCACATTGGTCCTTCTGGAATATGCTAGTTCTTTTTATGTTTTCCCACATAATTGGTCTATTTTTATTCCTCTCTCTTGGCTTTTAGAACCTTTTTTTCTTCCTTTTTTTCTTTTTTTTTTTCTTTGAGACAGAGTCTTGCTGTGTCACCTAGGCTGGAGTGCAATGGTACAATCTCGGCTCACTGCAACCTCCACCTCCCAAGTACAAGCCATTCTCTTGCTTCAGCCTCCCAAGTAGCTGGGACTGCAGGCATGTGGCACCATGTCTGGTTAAGTTTTGTATTTTTAGTAGAGACGGGTTTCACCATGTTGGCTAGGCTGGTTTCAAACTCCTGACCTCAAGTGATCCGCCTGCCTTGGCCTCCCAAAGTGCTGGGATTTCAGGCTTGAGCCTTTCTTCTTCATTTTTTATTGAATCTGGATCCCTGTCAAACTTTATTCTTTTGTTTCAGCATAAATGCCACCCATTCAAAGAAGCCTTTCATCACACCTAACCCCTCCATTCTCTGTCATAGTATGTTGTTTTATTAGCCTTTTCGAAGGGTATACTTTTTTATTACTGTTTAGTTTGTTTTTTCCACCAGCAAAGTCTTATTCATTATTATGTTCCTTAAATGAATCCCTTGAGTCACTACTGCTACTATCTGAATTTCAGTCCACCGTTGTGACTCAGAGGGTCACTACAGCAGTACTGTCTGATTTCCCTGCCATTATTCTTCCCTTTTAATCCACTCTTCGTACTGTTTCGGTGATCTTTCTCACCTGTAAGCCCTCCTGAGTGCTGCATTAGCAATTCTTTGTGACCTGGCCCCTCCTCGCATTTGCAGCCCTGTTCTTCACCGGTCCTCTTCTATGTTCCACGCTCCAGCCATACTGAATTATTTATGACTGCAAGCTCAACATGTTTTTCTTACCTCCAGGCCTTATTTGTTTAACCCTCTGCCTGACATTTTCTCATTCTTAACCCCCTTGACCTGATTCATTGAGGACTCAATTTAGATACTACCTTTTTTTAATGAAGCCTTCCCTGATCCTCTAAGCCTAGTTAGATCCCCCTTACAAAGTCCCCTCTAGCACTGTGTGCTTACTGCTGTCGTGATAGGTAATATAATATAGTTCGCCAGTACTCTCTGTCGTTTCCCCAGGACTAAGCTACTTGAAATCAAGAACGGATTCTTAGTCATCACTGTACAGTTAGCACCTGAGTCCGTATCCAGTACATTGTGGCACTGAGTGAAAGTTGGCAGTCTTCACAAACCAAGTGGTAGCAGTGTAGGGGCTCATTGACTCTAAACTGCATAGAGTAATTGCTTATAGTTGAATTTTGGGAATTTCCAAATAGAGAAGACTGAGTGGGAGAAACCACAGTGGGAGTTTAGCCATCCCCACTTGACTCTTTGAAGGTTGTTGGAGGGCTGGGCATAGTGGCTTATGCCCATAATCCCAGCACTTTGGGAGACTGAGGCAGGAGGATCACTTGAGCCCAGAAGTTCAAGACTTGCCTGAGCAACATAGCAAGACCTTGTCTCTGCAGAAAAATTTAAAAATTAGCCAGTTGTAGCATTATACCTGTAGTCCCAGCTACTCAGGAGGCTGGGGTGGAAGGATCGCTTGAGCCCAGGAGTTTGAGGCTGCAGTGACCCATGACCGTGCCGCTGCACTCCACCCTGGGCAACAACAAGACCTCATCTCTTGAAAAGAAAAAAAAAAAAAAGGTTGCTAGGTGGTTTGAACAGTAAGAGAATAGTAGAGGCTTGCTCCCATCTTAGGGGAGCTTTAAAAACAGTGTTTAAAACTGTGTTAAAGTGTACTTTAAAAACAGTGTTATGTCAACCATGTTTAAATTCTGATCTTTTTTTTTTTTTTTTTAACAGGTTAAGAAATATCCTCTCAGTCGTCGGTACTGATGCCTTGAAAAAGACCAAAAAGGATGATGAGAAGTCTAAGAAGTCCAAAGAAGAGGTAGAACATGTCTTTAACTTCACAGTGTAAACATGAAGGAAATGAGGAGATAGGTCTCTCATTTTCTGCTTTCAATGGTTTGCTTTGCTAAGATGATGGAGGGAAGTGTCTTTGAAGGCTCTACCATTCAAGAATAGTTGCTGGCAGTAGTTTTGGTTCCTTTGTAAGTATGAATGGAGCTAAGTGAGTTTTCCAGTCAGGAAAGAATCATAGCATTCCTGGTATAACCATCTATTTACATATCATAGAAAAAAAATACGGTAGAAAGCCATATGCCTGATTTCATACTATTACCAAACGAATTCACCTTCCTTCTGGGCAGTTAACATGGAGAAACGACAGGAGTAGAATGCTTCAGATTTGACCTTTCTGCTCTTAATTTGCCTTTCAGTATCAGCAGACCTGGTACCATGAAGGACCAAATAGCTTGAAGGTGGCAAGACTATGGATTGCTAATTATTCATTGCCCAGGTAAAGAGAGCCTCCAGTAGAAGAAAGAAGCATATTTTGTGTGTGTGTTTCAGGAACTGAGTGCTTGATAATGACTGTGGTTGTTAAATGAAATTGAGGGGTAGAGATACATGTGGACCCTTGTTTACAACCCTGTTGCTCCTGGTGATGGTGTTTCTGTGTCACAGGGCAATGAAACGCTTGGAAGAGGCCCGACTCCATAAGGAGATTCCTGAGACAACAAGGACCTCCCAGATGCAAGAGCTGCACAAGTCTCTCCGGGTAAGATGCTCCCAGTGATTGTCCCACGTCTTAAAGGTTCTTCATATTTGTGTGATTTTTCTACTTTGGCCCACCTCTGGGAAGGTAGAGGTGACTAGAGCGATCCCTCCCTGCTTGAGCTGAGCTGCTGTGACATGGAAGGAGCAATCAGTTAACGTGACAGGAGCTTGCTGTGCTTTGTACTCAGCAGAGGCCTATGGTTCTCTTCTTTATTTCTCCCTGTTAATACGTCAAAGTTTCTCTGGGGTTTTCTGTTTATATTTATCTGACTCAGAAGTTGTGATACTAAGACTATAGAAAACAGCTGGGTGCAGTGGCTCATGCCTGTAATCCCAGCACTTAGGGAGGCAGAGGTGGGTGGGTCACCTGAGCTCAGGAGTTTGAGACCAGCCTAGTCAACATGATGAAACCCTGTCTTTACTAAAAGTACAAAAATTTGCCAGATATGGTGTCATGCGCCTGTAATCCCAGGTACTTGGGAGGCTGAGATGGGAGGATCGCTTGAACCTGGGAGGCAGAGGTTGCAGTGAGCCAAGATCACACCACTACACTCCACTCTGGGCGACAGAGCAACACTCTGTCTCAAAACCACAGAAGAATCTTGGGATGGGTTAAAACTGAAAAGTTGCTTTGTTGTTCTTTTTTTGGTGGAAAAGCCAAGGAACTCAGATTAACCTATTAATGATCATCGTGTGTGTGTGTTTTTTTTCTTTTTAAGTCTTTGAATAATTTTTGCAGTCAGATTGGGGATGATCGGCCTATCTCCTACTGTCACTTTAGTCCCAATTCCAAGATGCTGGCCACAGCTTGTTGGTAAGTTCCATTTTACAGTGACATTTTTTCCTAAATGGGGAACAGGCTCAGGAAAATATTAGCATTTGTCTTAGACGTCTATTTGTACGTCCTCTTTCTCTGCTTCTCATGATCACACCAAACTACAGATATCAGTCAGTGCTCTACCTGTTGTATAATATGATGCAGACTTGGTTTAGCCGTTCTCAGTCTTCACCAGTGACCCCAGAGATTCATTACACTCTAGCACTCTGTCACATTCTTGACACTAGTATTTTGGAGCAGGTCATGTAGTGAGTTTACAGACCAACTAGTATCCATAACTCAGTCTGGCTTTTCTTTTTCAGTTATGTGATCTCCCTAAGATACTTAATCCCTGTCAGCTTCAGTGTCCTTATCTGTAAAGTGGGATGAGGTAGTGTTTGTAAAGCATTTTGCCTTGACAGTGCCTGGTATGTAGTAAGGGCTCATTAAATGTTAATTATTGGTTTATCTTTGTTTTATTTTCTTATCACCACATACGCAGAAAACTCAGGATGTGGTAACTTTGTTGTTTTGTTTGAGTTTGGTTGTTTGGTTTGGTTTGGTTTTTTTTTTTTGAGATGGAGTCTCGCTTTGTCGCCGAGGCTGGAGTGCAGTGGCACAGTGTCCACTCACTGCAAGCTCCGCCTCCTGGGTTCACACCATTCTCCTGCCTCAGCTTCCTGAGTAGCTGAGACTACAGGTGCCTGCCACCATGCCTGACAAATTTTTTTTTTTTATTTTTTTTTTATTTTTTTTATTTTTAGTAGAGACAGGGTTTCACCATGTTAGCCAGGATGGTCTCCATCTCCTGACCTTGTGATCCACCCGCCTCGGCCTCCCAAATGGTTGTGTTTTTTTGTGAGACATGGCTAACTAAAGAGAAAGGAAACTTAGATTTAATACACAGGAGCTACTTGACTAGGCCGACCTTGAGACTGGTTTAGGAGAAAGCCAAGGGACTGCACAAATCAGTCCACCTCTCCAAGCCTCATTACCTTCACTGTAAAGTATAAATGATCATTCCTGCTGTACCTACTTCACAGGTCTGTTAGAAAGATCATCTGAGATAATAGATATAAAAGTAATTTGTTGAAAATTTTCCAAAATTTTCCAAAAATTAGGCTGGCCTAAATAAAGTTTAAGGCCAGCCAGGCAGGGTGGCTCACGCTTGTAATCCCAGCACTTCAGAAGGCCGAGGTGGGAGGATCACTTGAGCCCAGGAGTTTGAGACCAGCCTGGGCAGCATAGTGAGACCCTGTCTCTACACATTTTTTTTTTTCTTTTGAGACGGAGTCTCATACTGTCGCCCAGGCTGGAGTGCAGTGGCACGATCTCAGCTCACTTCATGCTCCGCTTCCTGGGTTCATGCCATTCTCCTGCCTGAGCCTCCCAAGCAGCTGGGACTACAGGCGCCCACCACCATGCCCGGCTAATTTTTTGTGTTTTTAGTAAAGACAGCATTTCACTGTGTTAGCCAAGAGGGATTCAATCTCCTGACTTGTGATCTGCCTGCCTCGGCCTCCCAAAGTGCTGGGATTACAGGCGTGAGCCACTGTACCTGGCCCATAAAATTTTTAAAAATTTATTTAATTTTTTAAAGGTTAGCCAGGTGTGGTGGCATGCGCCTATTAGTCCCAGCTACTCAGGAGGCTGAGTGATAGAATTGCTTGAGCCTGGGAGGTTGAGGCTGCAGTGAACTGTGATCATGCTACTGCACTCCAGCCTAGGTGACAGAGTGACACCCTTTCTCAAAAAAAAATTTAAATACTTTGTAATCAGCAAAATACTGTTCATATTTAAGGATAGTATCACTATTAATATTAGTATTATTGGATAGTTTAATTTGCCCCACCTTCCCTCACAAGTGGATCCAAAAGTTAAGGAAAATGGCTACTGGTGTAGTGTTAATTATAGTCCAGTAAAAGCCTCTAGTTGCGTGCAGGCTGGAGGTAGCTTTTTCTTCTATAACCCTTCCAACTATAAGGCTTTTATGTTTCTGTCAGCCATTGTAAAGTTTGTTGGGGTTGAGAAGAGATTGTCCTTTAGTAATATTACCAAGGTACCTTTTCCTTCCCAGACCAACCCTGGCTGAGATGCTTTCCTTTGTATTTGATAGGAGTGGGCTTTGCAAGCTCTGGTCTGTTCCTGATTGCAACCTCCTTCACACTCTTCGAGGTAAGTTAGAGTCTTATCTAAATCTCAGTCTTTTTCCCAGTGTGAACTCAGTTACACCGTAAACTCTGCTTGACACTCAGACCCCATACACACAGCATTAATTCTTGATTTGATTTGACTTGGTTTTCTCTGGCTGCAAGACTGGACTATCACAACCTCATACACATCCACTTTTCTGTCATGTCCAGTCACACTCTGGCATTTTGTAATCTCTAAACCAAAACCACAATGGGTTTTTTTTTTGTTTTGCTTTTTTAAAAAATATAATTTAAATGGTAGCTTAAAATAGTTCATGTTTTAATAGTTGAATAGTCACTTTCATACTCTCTATGTCCACATGTTCCCTAGTATATACTTACCTGTGATGTTCATCATAGTCTGTATTTGTACACAGGTTATAAAGAGGCAGGAACCTTTTAACTTGGATCTCTTACACTCCTTTAGGGCATAACACAAATGTAGGAGCAATTGTATTCCATCCCAAATCTACTGTCTCCTTGGACCAAAAAGATGTCAACCTGGCCTCTTGTGCGGCTGATGGCTCTGTGAAGCTTTGGAGTCTCGACAGGTGAATATCACTGTTCTGCGGCCCACACTGCCATCACTAAAGAAGATGTTTGATTGGTTGGTCCCCAGGACCTCAGGTTAACAATCTGGCATTTAGGCCATGCACAGTGGTTCACACCTTAAGGCTGAGGCAGGAGAATTGCTTAAACCTGGGAGGTGAAGGTTGTGGTGAGCTAAGATCGCACCACTGCACTCCAGCCTGGGCGACAGAGCAAGACTCTGTCTTGAAAGAAAAAAAAATCTGGCATTTAACCCCCAAGATGGTTTAAGAGTCAAGGTAACTTAGTGTGAAAATGAAGTAAGTGGAAGATTTCATTCTTAGGCCTTTTCTTACTAAAGGAGTTACGTCAGTTTTTTCTTACCTGTTAACTTTGGATCTTGATTTTTGCCTGTAGCCTAGTGACCACTATTTCCTGGCTCCATTTATTCCAGAAAGATCCAGGCTACCTCCTACATGATTAACAATGAACTAAAGATAATATTCTTGGCAATTCATTGGTTCTTAGCAAACAGCCACAGGGGAGAGGAAAGTGAGGTTCTGTCTAGCAGTATTACCAGGGAGATGTCTCCTCCCAGTAGCGTCATCCTTTACCTAGAATGTATTTTCCAACTACAACAGTTTTTTAACATGTGTTTATGTGATTGTTTTCAAAAAAAAAAAAAAAACTTTGGAAGCACCCCGTTGGCCAAAAGACATCTGAATTTAATTGCTTAGTTTTCTTTCTTTGGGAAAACACATGAAGGTTTTTACTTGAGAATTTTTATAAGAGCTAATTAATGTCTTCATTCCTCACCAGGCAGGGTCTGACTTACGAGCACAGCGAGTTTTAATTGGCTTTGGTAATACTTAGCAATATTTATTCCCTTCGGGCTTTGGCTTGTTCTGTGTATGCACATTGACAAAGTTCCCTTTTTAATTACCCTCCTTAGAGTTCATGTTTATTTCCTTTTGCTGATGTTTCAGATCTTTTGGTGGTTGCTGGATTGTAGAATTTAATAGCCACCAAAAGGAGACTAAGCCTCATCTCTAGTTAGGAGTTCCTTTTTCATTTGGATCTTAGAACAGGCCTAAATTTGAAAAAGGTTTATCTGTAATCCTGTACCAAAACTGTGTGATTTCTGTGTCCTTATGTCTCTTCCAAAGCATGTTTTCTTTCTAGAATTCAGGTACTCCTTTGGTACAGAATGACTATTTTGCTTATTGGGCCGAAGTATTTTACAAGTGTAGTTACAATTTAGCCTCTCATGTTGTAAAGAATGGGTATAGCTGCACAAAAGGTAATCAGTTTTGGGAATATTTATATGTCTATAAAATTGTTTATATGTTTGGTTCTTTTCCAGTGATGAACCAGTGGCAGATATTGAAGGCCATACAGTGCGTGTGGCCCGGGTAATGTGGCATCCATCAGGACGTTTCCTGGGCACCACCTGGTGAGCCATCCTGTTACTGTTTTATCCATATAGGCCTGTGGCATCTTCTTAACTCTTTATGGCTATGTGCCAGGTAAATTTTTAGAGCAGAGATCTTTAGGTAGGATTTTCTTGGGCTGCAGAGAATTGGAATCAGAGGAGAATGTTTAATATAGTGAGGGCTAAGTATATTTGCCTTTTTTTTTTTTTTTTTTTTTGAGGCAGAGTCTCACTCTGTCACCCAGGCTAGAGTGCAGTGGCGCGATCTCAGCTCACTGCAACCTTTGCCTCCTGGGTTCAAGCGATTCTCCTGCCTCGACCTCCCTAGTAGCTGGGACTACAGGCACGTGCCACCACGCCCAGCTAATTTTTTATTTTTGGTAGAGACAGGGTTTCACCATGTTGGCCAGGCTGGTCTTGAACTCCTGACGTCAAGTGATCTTCCTGCCTCGGCCTCCCAAAGTGCTGGGATTATAGGCATGAGGCACCGCACCCAGTCATATTTGCCTTTAAATTACAATTGATCTGAAATTTCAGAGTTACAAATTACCAGAAAACAAGGATTTTCACTTTTGTCCAATGCTACAGGTATGTAAGTCTCCCTTCCTGGTTCTGTAAGTTCAGAGAGGCTAGAATCTGCTAGAGAACTTTTTCATTAAGCTGTAATTTACATACAATGGAATGGATTTATTTTGTGTACAAAGCTATCATTCTTTACAAATGTGTACCATTCCTGTGACCCACACCCCTGTCAATGTAGAGAACAGTCCCATCACCCCAGAAAGGTCCCTCATGCCCTTTTCCAGCCAACTCCCCTTCTGAAGCAACTGCTGATCTGACTTCTATCACCATAAATTAATTACGTCTATTCATACTGTGTGAATTCATTTGTGGCAGGCTTCTTTCTCTCAGCATAACATTGTTAAGAGTCATTCATGTTGTTGCATGTATCAGTAATTCCTTTTTATTGCTGGGGGTTGTTCATTTTTATGACTGTGCCATAGTTTATCCATTCTCCTGTTGATGGACACTTGGGCTGTTTCCAGGTTTGGGCCAGTCGGAATGAAGCTGCTATAAATATTCTTGTACCAGGCTTTTTGTGGACATGAGTACAAATTGCTGGGTCATAGGGTAGAGGTATTAGACGTATATTTAACTTTTTCTAAACTCCCCACCAGTTTTCCAAAACGGTTACACCATTTTACATTCCCGGAGTTCTGGTTACTTCACATCCCTGTTAACATTTGGTATTGTCAGACTTACCATTTTGCCCAATCTAGCAGGTGTGTAGTGATCTCCCATGATTTTCATTCTTATTACCCTGATCACTGTTGCTCTTGAGTGCCCTGTCATATGCTTTGCCTGTTTTTTTTAATTGAGTTTGTCTCTTTTGTCTTTATTTCCATGTGCATAGTCAGTTACACCACTGTGTACTGAAGAGACTTTCCTTTCTCTGTTGGAAATGTTTCAGTACCCTTGTTGAAAATCATCTGACCATGTATGTGTGGTTATTTCTGTACTTCCTATTCTCTTCCGTTGATCTATTTGTCTGTGAGTGATTTTTGTATTCCCAACATCCATTTTAGGGCCTAGTAAATGTATAAATGCTTGATAAATGAAAGAGCATAACAGTGGAAGAAGGAAGAAGGCAACACAGTCTTTGCTGGGCCATTCTTGGGGAATCCTGTTAAAATAGCCGCTAGGTTGGGCACGGTGGCTCACACCTGTAATCCCAGCACTTTGGGAGAACAAGGTAGGTGGATCACCTGAGCTCAGGAGTTCGAGACCAGCCTGGCCAACATAGTGAAATCCCATCTCTACGAAAAATACAAAAATTAGCTGGGCATGGTGGTGCACACCTGTAGTCCCAGCTACGTAGAAGGCTGAGGCAGGAGGATGACTTGAACCCAGGAAGTGGAGCTGGCAGTGAGCCGAGATTGCGCCACTGTACTCCAGGCTGGGCAACAGAGTGAGACTCTGTCTCAAAAATAAATAAATAAATAAATAGGCACTAGAGGTTTATAGCGAGTCCATGGTTTTCAGTCAGCACCTAAGGCAGATAAGCTTAGTTGTTGAGTCATTGTTTATGTCAGAAAGGAGCTTCCTGTTAATATGGTTATATGAATAGTTTCAGAAGCATTAATAACAAGCTATAATGACTTACAATACTTTATATGTTGTAGAAACTGGATAAATACCAGCTGGTTGATTGTTAGTGTGATTTGGTTTTAGCTATGACCGTTCATGGCGATTATGGGATTTGGAGGCTCAAGAGGAGATCCTGCATCAGGAAGGCCACAGCATGGGTGTGTATGACATTGCCTTCCATCAAGATGGCTCTTTGGCTGGCACTGGGTAAGGCTTCTCCCATGTAGCCAGGGGCAGCTCAGTACTCTCACCTCTTATGTATGCGTGCTTCCACAGAGAACTGGATTCAAAGTGTTCATTTATAAATTATTTTATCAGGGGACTGGATGCATTTGGTCGAGTTTGGGACCTACGCACAGGACGTTGTATCATGTTCTTAGAAGGCCACCTGAAAGAAATCTATGGAATAAATTTCTCCCCCAATGGGTAAAATAAACACACTGAATGAGGGGTGAAAAAGGGTTCTGGGTCAGAAAGTACTCTATTTCTAACTTCAGTACTGCATCCGATCCACAGCTATCATATTGCAACCGGCAGTGGTGACAACACCTGCAAAGTGTGGGACCTTCGACAGCGGCGTTGCGTCTACACCATCCCTGCTCATCAGAACTTAGTGACTGGTGTGAAGTTTGAGCGTAAGCTTTCCTCCTATTTTAGATCTAAATGACACAGACAAACAGTATTGTGTTCCCGTGCAATACAGGCCAGACTTTAGCTTAAACTGAGAAGTAGAACAGGAGAGAATTTGACCTACTGGTAAAGGAGCAAATTATAATTTCCTTCCCCCTGCCATACCCTTAGATCTGTGGGAAAGCATGCTTCTCGTTGCTGGAAGTAAAGACTTTCATGAGTGCTTTGCTTCATTCTTTCCCCCATGGATGCTCTGAGCACTGAATTCTAAATATTATTCTGAACAGATTTACAGTCAGGGAATGAGCCAGAGGACCTTACTGTTATTTGTTCCCTTAAGTCTGCCTTGGGTTATCCCCTTTACCTGGAGGCCTAGTAGGAAGACAGAATCAATGTTGACTTTTTCTGAATGTAGAAATAAGTTTTTTAAAAATAGTATGTTTTTGCAGACTTTTGTGCTTTTGTTGTCTTCTCTTTTGAATACCTGAATTCCTCAAGCAATTCCCCTTCTCTTCTGTAGCTATCCATGGGAACTTCTTGCTTACGGGTGCCTATGATAACACAGCCAAGATCTGGACACACCCAGGCTGGTCCCCGCTGAAGACTCTGGCCGGCCATGAAGGCAAAGTGATGGGCCTAGATATTTCTTCCGATGGGCAGCTCATAGCCACTTGCTCGTATGATAGGACCTTCAAGCTCTGGATGGCTGAATAGATGACAGTGGAGAAAGGACTTGAACCTCAAGCTCTTTCTAAGGAGCTGTTTTCCTCAAAAGAGAAGAATTGAAGTGTTTAGTTCTATCATGTTTTCTGCCAATTACCATGCGTAGACCCTCACTAGAATTGGATTTCCATGTCAGCCCCCACTCCAGGCAGGCGGCCCAATCCCTAGGTAATGGTGAACCCATCTCATGGTTGAAAATTTATTACCTTTTTATGCCCTGCCATGAACTGTGTAGACATTGTTTTTATTAATCTTTTGTTTGGCCAGGCATGGTGGTTCATGCCTGTAATCCTAGCACTTTGGGAGGCTGAGTTGGGCAGATCACTGGAGCTCAGAAGTCCAAGACTAGCCTGAGCAACATGGCAAATGCCGTCTCTACAAAAAAAATACTAAAATTAGCCTGTTGCGGTGACTTGTGCCTGTGGTTCCGGCTACTTGGGAGGCTGAGGTAGGAGGGATTGCTTAAGCCTGGTAGATGGAGGTTGTAGTGAGCTGAGATTGTGCCATTGCACTCTAGCCTGTGTGACAGAGCAAGACCCTGTCTCCAAAAAAAAAAAAAATATTTTGTTCGAATGCCCTATAGCCATCCTCACAGCGCCCAGGATTGTGACTGACTGCATTTTTAATTATTGAAACTTGGCTTTCCATAACATGGTCCATGCTTCAGGACTACATGTGACCCAGAGACCAAGGTGGCTGAACTATAGTCGGGAAGCCCTCAGGTAAAGAGGCGCGTCTCACCACTTACTGGTTAAACAACGCGTAACAGCGAACACTTCCTTTCCCTGGAGAATGGGATGTGAAGCAGTGGACCGCAGCCACGCCGATGGTTATGCAGTGAAGACGACTTCACCTCTTCCTGTTGAGTTTGCTTGGAATGCTGGCTGCATCAGGAAACTCTGAACTGAACATTTGCTTTGTCAGAAAATCTCTTTTATTTTACTTTGAAGTTTGGCAACCTTCATGTTACCCTAAAGCAAAACCATTGTGTCAGGAGTCAAACAAATGTTTAGAAAGCAAACATGACGCCTGTGTTGTACAACCTCCTTTCTGTTGGCTGTTTAAAGGATGTACTTCATATATTAAAGGGTACTTTATGTTAAAGTAACTGGGAAAAAAAACCCTAATGGGTATTCCTAAACCTAAACTTTTTCTTTATTCCACATTTGCTACGGTAAAATCCAGTTACAAAAACTAGGCTATAGAGAATTATTTTCTATAGTTAAGCATTTCTGAATCCTAGCCATTGGTCCATAGAGGTCTCCTTTTTTTTGGTTGGGGATATAATGGATGATCTCAAATATGGATTACTCTGATTTATGTCTCCTTAGCACCTTGTTAACAATTTTTTTTAAATAGAGGGCTGTTTACGCTGTGGGCCAGACTACCAGTAAGCCAGGCTGGACTCATTACAATTCTTACTTGCCTGTCATGCTCCTCTTTTCACCTCAACTGTACAACCTCTGAACTCTCAAATTACACAGTAAATTAAAAAAAAAAAAAATGGCATTTGGAAGAAGGAAGGGTTGTCAGAGTTATTAAAGGCCTTCTTGGCCGGACACATTGGCTCACACATGGAATTGCTTGAACCTGGGAGGCAGAGGTTGCAGTGAGCCAAGATCATGTTGTACTCCAGCCTGGGCAACAGAGCAAGACTCCATCTCAAAAAAAAAAAGCTTTTCATTTGCTGCTGCGGAGAGGCTGGCGATGGCTTTGGTCAGCTCTGTTCTGTGGACTCTGAATGTGTGATATATCGCCAAACAGCTGGATTGTTTTGTTTCCGTTTGAGACTGGGTCTCGCTCTGTCGCCCAGGCTGGAGTGCAGTAATGAGAACACAGCTCACCACAGCCTTGACTTCCTGTGCTCAAGTGATTCTCCTGCCTCATCCCCTCATCCTCCTGTGTAACTGGGATCACAGGAGGATGCCACCATGCCTGGCTGATTTTTTTGATTTTTTGAAGAGACACGATTTGACTTTGTTGCCTAGGCCAGTCTCAAATTTCTGGGCTCATGCAATCCTTCTGCCTTGGCCTCCCAAAATGCTGGGATTACAGGCATGAGCCACTGTGCCTGACCTAAACATACTGTTTTTAATCTGATTTCAATTATAACCAAGTAGTTGCATTTCCTATGTAGTTGTTCAGCTTCTGAATTGTCAGGACTACCCTCTATTGCTCACTTCACTCTTGTTCAAGTATTAATGAATTCTATTTCATAGACTGCGATGAAGAGAAATTTTTTTCTTACCTTTGTAGTATGTGTAAAATAATGAACGCTGGTGAATTAGCATGCAATTGGATATAATGTGCTAACAAAGATTTTTCGTTTCTCAGGTTTGAATTTTACTGTTAGTTCCCTTCTACTTGTTTGTGTTTTTTGGTTGTTCCAAGAGGTAGCAGTTGGGTGAAAACATTTCATCTAAGCCTTTGACAGAACAGATACCTCGTGGGCTATTTCTTCACAGGAATTAAAACATCATTGTAAGAAAGTGGTTAAGAAGCACAAAGCCAGGCGTGGCATTTGTGAAAATGGCAAGATAAACAGCCACAGAAGTGTTCACAGAACACTTAGTGCCTACCTAGATGGTGTACCAAGCACATTCAGATACCTAGTTTAATCTCCACCATCTTTTGAGTTTATTATTCCCTTTTTACGGACAAAACTGAGGCTCCAAGAAACACTCGCTCAAGTTTACCCAACTGGCAAGTGATGGAGCCTGAATCTGAACTGTCATCTGACCATTGGTGACCTTGTGAAGGTTTCACAGATTTCCCCACACTGACCAGACAAAAGGACTGGTGCAGCCAGCATTGCCTGTTTCCTGTACGAAGTCTGAGCTTTTTAAGGACTCTCCACTTTGTATAATGCCCCTCACCTTTTTTTTTTTTTTAAAGACGGAATCTCGGCTGGGTGCAATGGCTCATACCTGTAATCCCAACACTTCGGTCAGGAGTTTGAGACCAGCCTGACCAACATGGTGAAACCCCATCTCTACAAAAAATACCAAAAATTAGGCATGGTGGCGGACACCTGTAATCCCAGCTACTCAGGAGGCTGGGACAGGAGAATCGCTTGAACCCGGGAGACAGAGGTTGCACTTAGCTGGGATCATGCCATTGCACTCTAGCCTGGGCGACAAAAGCAAAACTCCATCTCAAAAAAAAAAAAAAAAAAAAAGACAGGATCTCTAACTCCTAGGTTCAAACGATCATCCTGCCTAAGCCTCCTGAGTAGCTGAGATACAGGCATGGGCCACTGTGCCCACCTTGTATACTGCTCTTTTGACAAGTCACTTCCATCTCTGAGCTCATGCCCAGTGGAGTTAAAGTAACTCCCCCACATCCCGAACGGATGAGGAGCCTATTGTTATCAACAAGATAGCTATTTGCATTTGTAGTTAGATGATCTTTCATCCTGTGGAACTGTGGCAACATAAGTATTGCAGCAGGTGTTAGTATCCCAGACCTCTGAGCCCTAAATGTCAGCAGCGCAGTTCACCCCCTCCACTGAGTACAAAAGATGCTCCCGTGCATTTCCAGATACTTTTGAAGAGGATGGGGCTGCCGCAAGGCTGGAGCTACTGAATGTGAAAATGAGAGACACCATAATGTTCAGGCAGCCCTCCATCTGTACCGGCGGGTTCCACATCAAGGATTCAACTAACCATAGGTCGAAAATACACTACTGAATATATACAGACTTTTTTTCTTGTTATCCCCTAAACAATACAGTATAGCAACTTCACATAGCATTTGCATTGTATTAGGTATTGTAAATAATTAACAGATGAATTAAAATATACAGGAGGATGTGTCTAGGTTATATGCAAACACGTACACCATTTTATAGCAAGGACTTGAGCATCCTTGTATTCAGGAATCTTCAGGATATCCTGGGACCATTTCCCCCTGAATATCAAGGGATGACTGTATATCCTCACCTATCAGAAAAACCCTCAAACTTACATCTTGTCTTATTTGGGTGGTGTATCAACCACTCCAAGGATCTAAGTTCTTTTTTGACTGAAAAGACTCTCCCACCTCCTACCTGGGTGACCTTGAACAAGGTAGCTAAACTCACGGAGCCTCGGTTTCATCTATAAAGTGGGGATTAAGCTTGCTGAGATTAGTAGGCCCTAGTGCAGAGGCCCATGTTCCTTCCTGGCCTTTCCTCAGCTCTTCCTGTCCTGAGCTGCCCTTGCCTGTCCTCTTAGCTCAGGGGACATGGTGAGATCATTGCCTAACTTACCTGCCACAAGTTTAAGGAGCAAAGCTGTGTAAAGAAATGAAGTAAATGGGGAAAGGTGGAGTCCCAGCTTTAGTGTAATTATCTTTGATGGCACAAATGGAGAGACAGTTGCTAGTCCCCTAGAGGAGTATGTAGGCAGTTTTCCAACTTTGTAATGGAGAATATTTCTTTATACTGGAGCTTAAAACCATTTGGTTTTTCTAAACATGAAATATACGTCTTGGATATTTTGATGTATTTTGTACATTAAAACCCGTGGGGGGGAATCTAACATTATTTGCAGCAAATCAACCAACTCAAATTCTGGCCTCTGAAAGCTTATTCCACATATCAAAAAAACCACAAAACCTCAAAATGTTATCCTTACGTATTTGTGATGGTATCTTTTTTGTACAATGATATCTTTTTTTCCCCCCCAAGACAGAGTTTCACTCTGTCACCCAGGCTGGAGTGCAGTGGTGCAATCTTGACTCACTGCAACCTCCGTCTCCTGGGTTCAAGCAATTCTCCTGCCTCAGCCTCCCCAGTAGCTGGGATTACAGGCATGCGTCACCACGCCCAGCTCATCTTTGCTGGGGATTATAGGCGTGAGCCACTGTGCCCAGGCTGTAATGGTATCTTAACCACTCTAAAATTGTGTCAGAGCCTTAAGCCACCAGGCAAGGTTGAAACTGGGGAAACAGAAATCAGGGTTTTAGACACTGCAAGGTTGCAACTTACCAAGCAATAGCCTGAGCCCCCAAATTCTATCTGATTGGTTCCTGGATTCTATCCCATCCAGGATGGGAGCTAAGCCTTTGCCTCTGTCCAGAGTTTCCATCTTCTTGAAGCCAGGATTATTAAGCTTGGGGGAGGGGAATCAGAACTCTACCCTGTGTCCATTCTAATCAGGGCCTCTGTATCTGCCTGGAGGAAGAAAGACTTATTCCTCCAAATCCCAGACTTCCCCTAGTCCACTGATCTAACATCTTTCACCGTTAGATTTCACCTAACACTCCATGAACTACATGGTGGCAAGAGGTTGTCTCATAGAAGCAGCAGCTGAATGAGCACACCCCTTCCTGCTAGTAAGGGCCATCTGCTACCCCTGGATAATCCTGCTCTTCTCTTCCCTTAGTTCTGGCACAGCACCAGCCCAGTAAATGGTCATAGAATGAATAAGTGAATGAATTAATGAATGCAGAACAGTTTTACTGCAACCGGCGGCAAGACATCCAAAGAGAAAGCTGAAAAGAAACAAACACACATTTACCCACAGAATTCAAGCTCACTTCCCAATTTTTTTTTTTTTTAGCAACCCATAGTAAAAAGAGCAATGCAAAAAACAAATCCACTGATTTTGAAGCAGCTCCAGTGAGAAATGCAACTTGCTATGTGAGCTAGTCAGGTTCCTGGATACCATTGTACAGCCCTTTGGCACAACTTGCTGTGGAGCTCTGTGGTCAGAACTGCTTGTCTGCCCTTCCATGACGCCACACTCACACCCGGAGGTTGCTCCACATCTCCCAGTCCTTCAAGCTGTTCGGTTTTTTGTTTGTTTGTTTTTAATTGTTCCCAGAAGCAAACACGTGGTCTAAACAATCCCTGGATTGTAAAATAAACAACACTACAAAGGAAGACACCACCAAATGAGGCTCTACAGTCACCATGCCCAGCAGCAACCGAAAAAGGTTTGGTTTCTTGTCTGGGAACAGCACTCACCCCACCCCCCAAAGGAACTGCTTGGTCCAAAAGATGGAGAAGATAAGCAACAGAGTGACACTGAGGATGACGGTCATCAGGTAGGCAAAGATGCGGAACTGAGGATTGCGGAAACACTCCCTCGGAGAGTAGTGGCTGGGGATGGGGATGGGCGTAGGCACGGTGGCAGAAGCCGTGTCTGGGGGCGGCCCAGTCTGGCCCCCAGGCTGGGGGCCGAGGTCCAGCGTGTAAACTCGAGGCTGGCGCAGGAAGTAGCGGCTCTTGGGCTGGTCTTTGAGGCACAGCTGACGGCCTTCCAGGATGACATGGTGCGGCTCCAGGCGGAGCAGGGTGAGCATGGCAGTGTCCGTGGGCAAGTCAGTGACGGGCTGCCCCAAGGCCAGCACCGTGGGCTGGCGACAGAGCGGGCACAGCAGGCGGCGCTGGGCTGGAGTCACCAGGCTGAGGTGGGCCAGGCATTCCACGCAGAAGGAGTGGCAGCAATCCAGCATTTTGGGGGTATGGAACGTGTTGTTGAAGGGATTCCAGCAGATGGGACACTCGGCCTCAAGCTCCCGGCCCTCCTGCTCAGCCATCCTCAGCCACACACAGGGAGGCCTCGCGGGAGACGTCCTGGCAGAATGGGGAAAGGAGCAAAGAAACAGCCATGAAGCCCCATCCCTGTGCTTGGCCTGGGGCAAAGTGTTCTGTGGGTGTTGAAAGGTGTCATCACCATGTTTTACTCAGGTTCAAAAGCGTTTTGTTCTTGATCACCAGTTCCTAAGCCATCGAGTGGAGTCGAATGCTCCTGCAGCCTCCCCTCTGTCAAGGTGAAGGCCTGGGCCACCCCTACCAAGAGCCCCCAAGTGAGCCGGCATTGGAGGAGACAGTGCCCCGGGCTTTGGAGCTGGACGCAAATGCTCCTTATGGTCGGTGTCTGTGGCCGTGGCTGCCCTGAACCCAGGGAGCTAGGGGTAAGCTGCAGTCTGTGGATTTTGCTAGAGGACAAATGTTTCCTTCCCTGCTACCTCAAATCCCTGACTAGCGCAGAGATGGGTTTTGTGAATTCCCTGGTCTATCCCTCCTATGGGGACAAATGCCAGCCCTCTTTCCCTCCTCCCCTTGAGCTAGAGGGCCAACCCTCCAGATCCTACTCACCCAGTCCTTGGCCTGGCAAGGGGACCCCTGGAAAGGCTTTTCTCCCTGTCTGGAAGGCTTATAGAAGCTCCCCTGCCCCATTTCCCAGATCAGCCCTCCCAGAGCCTCTTCCCCTTCCAAAGCCTCTTCCCGGTCCTCTGCCTACCCTGGCTCCTCCTCCCTCCCTTTGTCCTGGGAAACCTTCAGGGCACGCACCTGGGCTTCTGTGGGTTCCAGGGTGGTCAGGCAGACTACACTGGAGGGCCTGAGGCTCCAGTCGCTCCCTCCCCTGAATTGGCAAAGCTTTGGGAGACTGCCTTCTTGCCACCAACCCAGGGGCCTGTCTCCATGGCAGCAGGCACGCAGCACCTGGGGCTGCCAGGTGGCCCAGTCTGCAGCCTCTTGAGCACACCTGCTTGGAGCCAAGGCCAGAGAGCTTCCTAGGGGGTGGGGTGGGGAGGGAGATGGAGGACCTGAGTTCCCCCCAGGGCGTGGCAACTAATTGAACCTGGAAGCCAAACACCTGTGAGATTGTGGGCAGTCCCTTCAAGACCTGGAGCCCCTGGTCTGGAAAGGTAGGGTGGCAATTTCCTCTTTCTAGATGTGGAGAGGGTAAGGGAGTCTTCTGGGCTTCCTCTCTCTGGGGTCCTCATTTCTCTTCGAACGTGGCTGGAACCTCCTCCTTGCACAAAGGGGCTGCCTGCTCAGCACTTCGGTTGCTGTGAAAGTCACCTACTTGGAAGCTTAAAAGCTCCGACTATCAGATTCAGTCCAGTCACCCACTGATCTTTTAATGTGCCTAAGTAACTGCAAGCAGCGTGTGCAAACCTTGCTGCCTTCTGCTTTGTTCTTAGCACACAGCGGGTCAGCCTTCTGAGATCTTAGAGCTGGTCGTCCCACCAACCTTAGGGAGTTAAAGCGGGGAGTTGGAGGGAGGTGCACTCCAGCCCTGCTTCTCCATTTCAACCAGAAATACTTGGCTTTTCTCTGTTTTTCATATAGGTCATTTGAATAATCTGAAGAGTTGAGCTACTGGGGAAAAGAAAAAGTTTAAAAACCAATTCTCAAGGCCGGGCGCGGTGGCTCAAGCCTGTAATCCCAGCACTTTGGGAGGCTGAGACGGGCGGATCACGAGGTCAGGAGATCGAGACCATCCTGGCTAACACGGTGAAACCCCGTCTCTACTAAAAATACAAAAACTTAGCCGGGCGAGGTGGCAGGCGCCTGTAGTCCCAGCTACTCGGGAGGCTGAGGCAGGAGAATGGCGTGAACCCGGGAGGCGGAGCTTGCAGTGAGCTGAGATCCGGCCACTGCGCTCCAGCCTGGGCGACAGAGCGAGACTCCGTCTCAAAAAAAAATAAATAAAATAAAAATAAAATAAAATAAAATAAAATAAAAACCAATTCTCCATCTGAACTACTCATGTTGCAGATGAGAGACAAGAAGTGACTCACCCAAAGTCACCCAGCTAGTTAATGGTGACGTGGGACCCATGTCTTCAGACTCATGGTTTTCGAAAAGACGGAAGGCTACATCCACGCCGTCCACCTACTCAGTGTGTGTTACTAGCTAGATAATAAGTGTTTGCATGTGATCAGGAATCCCTCACAGCCAGAAGACTCATGGTAGAAATCCAGGAACTGTGCAAGAGGGGATCTGGGGGGAAGGGAGTCTCCCTAAAGCCCCTGATATGATATCATCTATCCTGACTGAGTCAATGTCTGAAGCAAAACCTGCTCTTTATACTCTTTGACCCGTGGCTTCCTGGTTTTCTTCTAGACCTCTGGCACTGCTCCAAACAGGGAAGGAGGAAATGAAGATATGTGGAGGGAGATGGAGCCCTAAGCGAAACTAGGGTAGTTTACCAGGGCTCTGCACCAGTGCTTTCTTCTGCGGCCCATTCATCCACTCGGTCATTATTGAGGGCTTACTCTAGCCCAGGTGCTGTGCAAGGTATTATTAGGTATTATGGTGAACAAAATAGACATTGTCTTTGACCTCATGACATTTAGAGTGTAGTGAGGCAAAGAGATATTTAATGATTAGTGGGCAATAAATAAATACACAGTTTTAATGGTTGTTAATAAAAGGCAAAAAGGAAAATGGGCTTCGGGTGCTTGGTCGCTGCTCCCGATGAGACCACCAGAGAATGTTTCTGCAAAGAGGTGACAGAAGAGCTGAGACCAAAGTATATAAGAATCCAGCCACGCAGAGTGGAGGAAGAGCGTTGCAGGCCCGGGGAACAGCGTGTGTGGCTCTGAGGCGAGAAAAATTCTTCCAATTTGAGAAAGTGAAAGGAGCCCAGGGTGATCAAGGTGTGGTGGCTGGAGCCAGGGTAGGCAAGGTGGGGAGGGACAGGACGCAGGACCTGTGAGCGAAGCTCATCTGGATTTTATTACAGGGGTGAGCGGTAGGGTAAGGTACCTGATCCTATTTCCATTTTTAAAACACCATTCTAGCTGCAGGGCAGAGGACAGACTGAGGGGACAAGACCGGGAAGGGAGCACGTGTTCGGGCTGTAGCAGTGTGGCTCAGGCATTCGATGGTGGTGCAGGTTAGGCAGTGGCGGAGAAGATAAAAGGGGATGGGATAAGTGATATCTTTGGGGACAGAATCAACGCCACTTCCCAAGAAGCAGTGGAGCTCTAAGGATCCAGTTGTAGTTTATGTCAAGGTTCATGATGCCAGATCCATGGCTATTTAGGGCTGCGATTCCAGTTGAATTGCTTGACCTCTCTGTGCCTCTATTTCCCCTTGTGAAAAGGAAGCCAAAACTAGTAAAGCTTTTAGTTAGAGCCCAGCACCCAGTAAAGACTACAAAGCGACATAGCACCTAACAACGGGAATATGTTCTGAGAAACCCATCGTTGTGTGAACAGCACAGAGTGTATTTACACAAACCTAGATGGTAGAGCCTGCTACGTGCCTAGGCTGTGTGGTCTAGCCTGCTGCACCTACGCTACAAACCCACACAATTTATTAGGTTCTGAATACTATAGGTATTGTAACACAATGATAATTATGTGTGTATTTCAACATAAACTTAGAAAAGGCACGGTAAATATATGGTATTATAATCTTATGTGGCCACCATCACATATGTAATCCACTGTTGACCAAAGCATTGTTATGGATATATGAGGCAACTGAAATTATTAATGCAAATGGATTTGAGAGAAAGGAAGGGTCAAGGTTGACTTCAAAGCCACAGCAAAGTTCTCTGCATCAAGCTTTGAGGAGCTCCTGAATCCCAGAGTGTGTTAGAAGCAGACCTTTTATACTTATCAGAAGCCTTAAACTGTATGTAACCCTGACTCATCATTTCCCCCACTGGGGATTGATTCCACGGAAATCATCAAGGACTCTTCTGCAAAGATGTGAGTACAGAGACGCCCATCTGGGCGCTGGTTTAACAGTGACGTATGGAGAACTACGTCATCATCCAGTAATAGGACATTGATTAAGTAGATTCTGCTCCATCCATAGGAAGAGATATTATGCAGCCTTTAATATGATGTGGTAAAACTATTAATATGGGTATATGCCTAGGATATAATGTCATTAAGCAAAAAAGAACCAGCAACAAAACCATATTGCAATATAATCCAATTTTCAAAAATGTGTGCACAATGGAAAAAAATGTCTGGAAAGATAAATAACCAAATATTAGCAGTGGTTATCTCTGGGGGCAAGATTATAAGTTTTTTTTTTTTTTTTTAATTCTCTTACCTGAAAATTCTAACTTCACTCCAGTAAGCTTGTATTACTACACGTCAAGATCTCCTGTTTCCCCCCAGATCAGACCTACATTCTCTGAAATTCCATGGCCAGAGCTGTAAAAGGCTGTCCAAGAGGAGGAAGGATCATTATTGCCTGGATCTTTATCTGTGCTGCTCTTCCAGGGATCCACTGTTGTTTCAGGATCAGCTGGGGAGAGACTCTGGCCACGTATCACCCCCACCCCAAGCCAGGACATCTCAGCTACAGTAAATCCTAAACACTGTCACAAAGTCATCTCCTTGGTCTGTGAACAAGTCATCACCAAATATCAGTTGTCTCCAGCATCACTCCATTGTTTTCACCCAGGAATTGGCATTTCATAGCACTTCACAGTTTACAGAGGTTCCTGGCCCTTGCTAAGATCTAAGTGTGGTGATCCATCTAGATAGGTTACTTGCCTTTTAGGATATTTTGTTGTTTGCAGAAGGCCATTTCATACTCTAAAACCACCCTGTGAGAGAGGCTGAATGGGGAGGACAAAGTGTGCCGGCTTTATAACCAGATTTGGAACCATTTGTCTTGGACAAATGGCTTAATCTCTCTGAACTTCATTTTCCTCCGTAAAAAAGGGTAATCATCCCACTCCTACAGGGTTGCTCTGGGGAAGGACTAGTCTATAAGGTGCCCGGTAGAATACAGAAGACATGCAACTCTGGTTAGCATGATTATTGTTGGACCCATTTTCTAGATGGGGAAGCCAAGGCTCAGAAAGTTGAGGCGACTTGCTGAAGGCTTCCCAGCTAAAGAGTGGCTGAGTTTGAAAGATGAACCCAGTAGCCTGCCCTCCCAGGCCAGATTTCACCTGCCACGCGCTTCACGGCTGCTGCCTCTCCGGACTCTGGGGCCCTGTGACCCGTCCCTCCGCGACCCTCTCTGTCTCCTTACCTGCTCCCTCGGAGCCGCCTCCTCTGCCTCCCTTCCCTGCAGCCCTGCACGCAAGTACTTTGTTTTCTGACTTCCCAGGCCCGATTTCCAGGCAGCGTGGGTGGGTCTCATTTGCATAGGTCTTAGCAGCGCTTGGCCAGCTCTCACTGTTTCAGGTTTTCTTCTTCCTTCTGATGACTTTGGACTTCCTGTACACCCGGGAAGCTTTGGCTGCTTTGTCTTTCTCCTGTGAGTGACTCTGGCTTTTTTCTCTGAGGGGGTCAAGCGCAGTCATCCTTGCAGGCCTCTGTTCTGGGTTCGGTTGATCTCCTACCATCCCCTCGGATTCCACTGTCCTTTGTGCGCTGACCCGCCTGGACTCCTGGCTTCTGCCCAGATAGATCCTTCCCTATGCTGAGCCCCTGCAACCAAAATACAAACAGCTCTTGCAAAATACTAACAAACGCTGCCACTAATATAGCAGAAAAATAGTCGGGAGACAGTTGAGCATCTGCCTGAAGAGCCAGGGTTCTCAAGCAAGGCACACTTCTAGGTCAGAGTTCAATCCTCACTGAGAATCCAAACTCCATTTAACTAGCGATGGAGACTTGAGCAAATTAGTTAACATCTGCCAGCCTCAGTTTCCTCACCTGAAAACGGCCATAGTACCCTACCTACTTGATCTGTAGATGAAACGAGGTAATATGTGTCGAGATCACATAATAGCACAGTGCCTGGCACACAGTAACTCAGTAAATGTTAACCAGAACTATTATTGTTATACGACCGGTCTGTTCACATGGCCCGTCTTTTGTTCCTGCTCAAATTCTTTTTGCACCTATTATTTTTGTACCTATGGTCCTCTTTTCTCTTCTCTTCTCTTCTCTTCTCTTCTCTCTCTCTCTTTCTTCTTTCTTTTCTTTCTTTTTCTTTCTTTCTTTCTTGATATATTCTTACTCTGTCGCCCAGGCTGGAGTGCAGTGGGGCGATACTGGCTCACTGTAACCCCAATCTCCCTGGTTCCAGCAATTCTCCTCCCTCAGCCTCCCGAGTAGCTGGGACTATGGGTGCGCGCCACCATGCCCGGGTAATTTTTACATTCTTAGTAGAGACGGGGTTTCGCCATGTTGGCCAGGCTGGTCTTGAACTCCTGACCTCAGGTGATCCACCCTCCTCGACCTCCCAAAGAGCTGCGATTACAGGTGTGAGCTACCACGCCTGGCCCCTTATTTCTTTACTGACATTTTCAGCAGTACTTGAGAAATAAGTAAATAAATGTACCTGCTTGGTGATGTAATCAAACGCCCTAGTCCCCTCATGTTGTGTTTTTTTTTTTTTTAACAATAATTTTTATGTATTTATGTATTTTGAGACAGAGTCTCACTCTGTCGTCCAGGCTGGGGTGCAGGGCGTGATCTCAGCTCACTGCAGCCTCAACCTCCTGGGATCAAGCAATCCTCCCACCTCTGTCTCCTGAGTACCTGGGACTACAGGTGCATGCCGCCGTGGCTGGCTAATTTTTTTTTTTTTTTTTTTTTTTTTTTGAGACGGAGTCTCGCTCTGTCGCCCAGGCTGGCATGTAGTGGCCAGATCTCAGCTCACTGCAAGCTCCGCCTTCCGGGTTTACGCCATTCTCCCGCCTCAGCCTCCCGAGTAGCTGGGACTACAGGCGCCCGCCACCTCACCTGGCTAAGTTTTTGTATTTTTTAGTAGAGACGGGGTTTCACCGTGTCAACCAGGATGGTCTCGATCTCCTGACCTCCTGATCCGCCCGTCTCGGCCTCCCAAAGTACTGGGATTACAGGCTTGAGCCACCGCGCCCGGCCGTGGCTGGCTAATTTTTGTATTTCTTGTAGAGATGGGGTTTCTCCATGTTGCCTAGGCTGGTCTCAAACTCCTGGGCTCCAGCAATCCACCTGCCAAAAGTGCTAGGATTACACCTGAGCCACCGCTCCCACATTTGATTTTTAAATAGGTAATATATTTACATGGTTGACCATGTGAAAGGTGTGATTTCACAGTGAAAACTTTCTCTTCGCAGCCACCTAGTTTCCCTGGAAATCAAAGTATTATACTATCAGTTTGTTGTGTATCTTTCCAAAGATGTTTTATGCATACACAAACAGCATGTCCATGGCAAAACATCTATGTATTCCCTTACCTCCTTTTTACACAAATGTGCGTATTATGTACCCTGTTCTGCATTTTTTCTTTTTTCATTTGATGATGTATTTGAGATACCATTCTGTATTAGTACATGAAGACCTTCTTCGGTTTTGGCCCGGCGCGGTGACTCACACCTATAATCCCAGCACTTTGGGAGGCCAAGGTGGGTAGATCACTTGAGGTCAGCAGTTCAAGACCAGCCTGGCCAACATGGTGAAACCCCATTTCTACTAAAAATACAAAAATTAGCCAGCATCGTAGTGCATACCTGTAGTCCCAGCTATTCAGGAGGCTGAGGCAGGAGAATCGCTTGAACCTGGGAGACTGAGGTTGCAGTGAGCTGAGATTGTACCACTGCACTCCAGCCTGGGCGACAGAGCAAGACTCTGTCTCAGATAATAATAATAATAATAATAATAATAATAATAAGACCTTCTTCAGTTTTTTAATGGTTGTATCAGATTTCATTGAATGGCTGTACCATAAATCACTTCACCAATCCCCTATTGATCTAATCCCCTGATTATAAATATATAAATATTGAATGAAAGAATAATGCAAAAATGCTGATTTTAAGTTAGCCTAGAATTGTGTGAAAATAAAACTGTGGACTTTGGGAAGTTTTAGATCTCTAAACAAAATGTCTGAGTAATTCTCCTCTTTCGGAGCTGGAGATGAGAGGTATTTGATCACTGATGGCCTCGAAGTTCCTCTCAGCTTTGGAATTCCCTGCTTTTCGGTGTCACTACTGGTTAACTGAGGTTAGTGGGGTTTCGAGACACTGATTTAGTCCAAAGAACCTGGTTTGTATTTGAGAGTTTGGAAGTCATGCTTTCTGACTTGGCAACATAAGAAAACATAAAGTTCATCTACTTTGACCTGATCATGTAATTCCCCAGAAGTATCAAAAAGATAATTTTGGTTGAGTGAGGACATTCATTGTAGTTTTATTTGAATCCCAAATGATTGAAAACATTCCAAAACCCCATCAATTAAGTGAAAAACTACATAATCATTTAAAATGAAGATATAGAAAGATTTTCATTGACTTGTAAAAATGGTCACAGTACACTGTAAATGGAGGGGGAAAGCAGTGTTAAAAATGGTGCATGTTGGCAGGGCGCGGTGGGTGGCTCACGCTTGTAATCCCAGCATTCTGGGAGGCCAAGGCGGGCGGATAACAAGGTCAGGAGTTTGAGACCAGCCTGGCCAATATGGTGAAACCCCGTCTCTGCTAAAAAAATACTAAAAAACAAATTAGCCAGGCGTGGTGGCAGGTGCCTGTAATCCCAGCTACTTGGGAGGCTAAGGAGGCAGGAGAATCACTTGAACCTGGGAGGCAGAGGTTGCAGTAAGCTGAGATCATGCCACTGCACTCCAGCCCAGGCAACAGAGAGAGACTCCAGCTCAAAAAAAAAAAAAAAGGTGCATGTTGGTTGGGCACACGCCTGTAATCCCAGCACTTTGGGAGGCCGAGGTTGGAGGATTGCTTGAGCCCAGGACTTCAAGACCAGTGATCCCATTGCTACAAAAAATCAAAAAATAAAAAATTAGCTGGGTGTGGTGGTACATGCCTGTTGTCTCAGATACTCAGGAGGCTGAAGTGGGAGAATCACTTGAGCCCAGAAAGTCAAGGCTGCAGTGATCCCAGATCTCACGACTGCACTCTAGCCTGGGCAACAGAGCAAAGACCCTGTGAAAGAAAGAAAAGTAAAAAAGAAAGAAAAGAAAAGAAGAAAAGAGAGGGAGAAGGAAGGAAAGAAGGAAGGAAGGGAGGGAGGGAGGAAGGAAGGATGGAAGAGAGGGAGGGAGGGGAAGGAAAAGAAAAGGAAAGAAAGAGAATGTAGCATAAGCCAGATTTTGTAAAGCATAATTTATGTATAAAGACTGCAAGGCCGTGAGGCAAAATGTCACAATATTTATCTCTGGGTGATGGCCCCTCATGTTTTCATGTTTTCACTTTCTTCTTATATTTTCTAAGTTCTCAAATATGTATTACTTTTGTAGTAAGAAAGTTCACTTAGAGAGTAAGTTAAGTCTGAGTTTTCTGCAACCAGGGTATCCAGAACTTAAAAAGATAAGCAGGTAGGGCAGGTAAGAAGTCAGTCATGACACTGTAAGCATTGAAATAAAAATAAAATAAGTCATGGCCAGGCATGGCCTGTAATTCCAGCACTTTGGGAGGCTGAGGCAGGCAAATCACTTGAGGTCAGGAGTTCGAGACCAGCCTGGCCAACATGGTGAAACCCCATCTCTACTAAAAATACAAAAATTAGCCAGGCATGGTGGTGGGTGCCTGTAATCCCAGCTACTCGGGAGGCTGAGGCAGGAGAATCACTTGAACCCAGGAGGCGGAGGTTGCAGTGAGCCAAGATCGCACCATTGCACTCCAGCCTGGGCGACAAGAGTGAAACTCTGTCTCAAAAAAAGAAAATAAAATTTAAAAAGTCGTGGCCTTTTTCCAGGTCACTAATTGTCTAGTGAGTCAGTGTATTATCATAATGTCTGTGGGTGGTCAGGCTAAGGAGTGCTTTTCCAACACTGGAAAAGTTTTCCAGGGAGATACCTGGGACAGATAGTGAGGCATCTCAGGAACTTGAGAGTAAAACTAATTTATAAAGTTCATGCTTGTGGGGGCAAGGTCAGCCATCCGGAAAGGCACCTCACCTAAGCAGTACCTTAGACCTGAGTGAGTGAACAGTCATGAGACTCGGTGGAGCCCAGCCAAGGTCTGGAGCACAGGCGTGGGGTGGTTTTAACCCGTCTGGGAAGGAAGAGGTGGCAGGAGGCAGAAGGATGGAGAAAAGGTGAAGACTGCAGCAGGTTTAGAATCCGGGATGGTCAGTGTTTAGCAGGTCCCAGTCAAGGGCGGAGGACAACTCTCCCTAGGGGGCCACCCTGTCATCATCACTCAGAGCCTTGCCTGAGATTTATCTAGCATTTAGGACAGTTCCGGCAGCATAGGCTTCAATTAGAGATTGTTAGATATGCAAAATCTGGCCGGACTTGGTGGCTCACGCCTGTAATCATGGCTCTTTGGGAGACTGAGGCAGGTGGATCCCTTGGGGTCAGGAGTTCGAGACCAGCCTGGACAACATGGCGAAACTCCGTCTCTACTAAAAATACAAAAATTAGCTGGGGGTGGTATACAGGCGCCTGTAATACAAAAATTAGCTGGGCATGGTAACGGGTGCCTGTTATCCCAGCTACTCGGGAGGCTGAGGCAGGAGAATAACTTGAACCTGGGAGGTGGAGATTGCAGTGAGCCAAAATTGTACCATTGCACTCCAGCCTGGGCAACAGGGCGAGACTACGTCTCAAAAAAAAAAAAAAAAAAAAAAAAAAAAAAAAGAAATGAAAAATCTCAGA